TTGATTTTCTCAAAGAACCAACTCTTTGTTTCATTGATTCTTTATATTGTTCTCTTTGTTTCTATTTTATTGATTTCAGCTCTCAATTTGATTATTTCCTGGTGTCTATTCCTCCTGGATGAGTTTGCTTCTTTTTGTTCTAGAGCTTTTAAGTGTGCTGTTAAGTCACTAGTGTGAGATTTTTCCAACTTCTTTATGTGGGCATTTAGTGCTATGAATTTTCCTCTTAGCACTGCTTTCATAGTGTCCCACAAGTTTGGGTATGTAGTACATTCATTTTCATTGAATTCTAGGAAGTCTTCAACTTCTTGCTTTATTTCTTCCTTGACCCATTGGTGATTCAGTTGAACATTATTCAGTTTCCATGAGATTGTAGGCTTTCTGTAATTTTTTCTTGTTGTTGAAATCTAACTGTAAGCCATTGTGGTCCAATAGAATACAGGAGGTTATTCCAATTTTTTTTGTATCTGTTGTGATTTACTTTGTGACTGTGTATGTGGTTGATTTTAGAGAAGGTTCCATGGGGTGCTGAGAAGAAGGTATATTCTTTTTTGTAGTGGTGGAATGTTCTGTAGCTATCGATTAAGTCCATTTAAGTCATAACATCTCTTAGGTCCCTTATTTCTCTGTTAAGTTTCGAGCTGGCAGATCGGTCCAGTGGTGAGTGTGGGGTGTTGAAGTCTCCCACTATTAACGTGTGGGGTTTGATGTGTGATTTAAGCTTTAGTAATGTTTCTTTTACATATGTGGGTGCCCTTGTATTTGGGGCATAAATATTTAGAATTGAAACTTCATCTTGTTGGATCTTTCCTGTGATGAGTATGTAATGTCCTTCTCGATCTCTTTTGATTGATTTTAGTTTGAAGATTATTTTGTTAGATATTAGGATAGCTATACCAGCTTGCTTCTTAAATTCATCTGATTGGAAAGTCTTTTCCCAGCCTTTTACTCTGAGGTAGTGTCTGTCTTTGAAGTTGAGGTGTGTTTCTTGTATGCAGCAGAAGGATGGGTCCTGATTTTGTATCCATTCTGTTCGACTGTGTCTTTTTATAGGTGAATTAAGTCCATTGCTTTTAAGGAATATTAATGACCATGATTGTTAATTCCTATTATCTTTTGGTGCAGTGTGTGTGTATTTCTCTTCTTTGAGATTTACTGCTGTGGGGGTATCTATTGCCTGTGTTTTCATGGGTGTATCTGACTTCCTTAGGTTGGAATTTTCCTTCTTGTGCTTTCTGTAGGTCTGGATTTGTGGATAGGTATTGTTTAAATCTGGTTTTGTCTTGGAATGTCTTGTTCACTCCGTCTATGATGATTGAAAGTTTTGCTGGGTATATTAGTCTAGGCTGGCACCCATGGTCTCTTAGTGTCTGCATTACATCTGTCCAGGTCCTTCTGGCTTTCAAGGTCTCCATTGAGAAATTGGGTGTTATTTTGATGGGTTTGCCTTTATAAGTCACGTGGCCTTTTTCCTTTGCTGCTCTTAATATTCTTTCTTTATTCTGTATGCTAGTGGTTTAATTATTATGTGGCAAGGAGACTTTTTTGGGGGGTCTACTCTATTTGGTGTTCTATAAGCTTCTTGTATCTTCATAGGTATTTCCTTTTTTAAGTTGGGAAAGTTTTCTTTTATGATTTTGTTGAATATATTTTCTGTGCCTTTGAGTTGGTGTTCTTCTCCTTCTTTTATCCCTATTATTCTTAGGTTTGGCCTTTTCATGGTGTCCCAGATTTCCTGGACATTTTATGTTATGACATTTTTGGCTTTGGTGTTTTCTTTGACTGACGAATCTATTTCCCCTATTGTATCCTCTACATCAGAGATTCTCTCTTCCATCCCTTATATTCTGTTGATTATGTTTGCATCTGTGTTTCCTGTTTGTTTACTCAGATTTTCTATTTCCAGCATTCCCTCTATTTGTGTCTTCTTCACTGTTTCTATTTCACTTTTCAGGTCTTGAACTGTTTCCTTCATATGTTTAATTGCTTTTTCATGGCTTTCTTAGCTTTCTTTAAGGGATTTATTGATGTCTTCCAATATTTGTTTGTCTTTTCCTAAATTTCTTTATTGATTTCTTCCATTTTTTTGTCTTTTCCTCAGTTTCTTTAAGGGAATTTTTCATTTCCTCCTTAAAGGCCTCTAGCATCTTCATGAAGTTATTTTTAAGGTTGTTTCTTCTACATTGTGATGTTCCAGTCTTGCTGTTGTAGAAGGGCTAGGTTCTGGGGATGCCATATTGCTCTTTATGTTGTTGTATGCATTTTTGCACTGGCATCTAACCATCTCTTCCTCCAATAGATGCAAGAGGTGCCTGTGTCTGAGCAAGTTGCTATTGGTCCACTCTGTGCTTGCTGTGTCTGTGTCACAGGGGGCCCCTCTGGGTCCAATCTTAGTTCTTGGTCTAATTGAAGACGGTAGATTCTGTATCTCAGGGAGCTGCTCTTAGTCCAATCTTAGCTAGTTGATTCTGTAGTTCAGGGAGCTGCTCTTGGTCTTATTAGGGCTCTTGGTCCAGTCAGAGCTGATGGATTCTGTGTCTCAGGCAGCCATTCTTGGTCCAATGAGATCTGGCGGATTCTGTGTCTCAGAAAGTTTCATTTCTTTTCAGTAAATATGATGAAAAGGCAAGAGGATCAGCTCCATAGAAAATGATGCCTAAACTCAGCTGCCTGTCCATAAAAGGAGGGCTTAGAAACACAGTGACAAAGCCCTCCTTTTAACTAAGGAAATTTTACTAAGCAAATCTCTTACAGCTTCAAGATCTTTGCTAATAAACAGCAAATGCTTCAAGACAGCTAACTTTTATGATCAAATCATTAATACCACCAGGACTGAAAGGTCAGATACCAGAATACTTAAAAGTTGTAGTAACAATTTATCAGGAGAATATTATTGATATATTATATTGTATTATATTATACTTATTTGTGGTTGATATGTTGTGCACCCTAATAAACTTATCTGGGGTCAGAGAACAGAACAGCCATAATATTAAACATAGAGGTTAGGCAGTGGTAGCACACGCCTTTAATCCTAGCATTTCAGAGGCAGAAATCCATCTGGATCTCTGTGAGTTCTAAGTCACACTGGAAACAGTCAGGCATGGTGACTCACTCACACCTTTAATCCCAGGACGTGATGGCAGAAAGCAGAAAGGTATTTAAGGCGTGAGGACCAGAAACTAGAGCTGGTTAAGCTTTTAGGCTTTAGAGCAGCAGTTCAGCTGAGACCCATTCGGATGAGGACTCAGAAGCTTCCAGTCTGAGGAAACAGGATCAGCTGAGGAATTGGCGAGATGAGGAAGCTGTGACTTGTTCTACTTCTCTGATCTTTCAGCATTCACCCCAATACCAGGCCCTAGGTTTGTTTTTATTAATAAGACCCTTTAGTATTCATGCTACACTTATTATGTTATATGTTAATATTATATCAGGAATCATTTATTCAGGAGAATGGGATAAATGTGGCTTTTGTGGTTTCAAATTAAAATCCTCCAGGAAAGGGTTAAAGGAAATTGTGTGTTCATTTTGAAAATGAGTAGATCAGGAAGTGGTTTTTAACATTTTTTTCAGCCTTTCTGAATGAGTACTTATGTAACTACAGAATTATAAAATACATTAAGCATTTTCTCAATTTATCTAAGTGTGATACATAACCACTAGCATTCTGATACAAAAAAAGGGAAGTTCATTCACTACATACAGGTGTATCTGAAATCATCAGAGCTTGGTTCTTACATCTATCAGATGTTATCATGAGGATGGATTGGCTAGATGGCAGAGCATAAACCAACTTTGACACTATGGAGCCTAGACAATGCTCTTGAAAAACAGAGGATGATGTGTAAAATAAAGACAGATTCCTAAAGATAACATAATTAGCATCATGTGAGTCAACTGTAAACATTTTTGGATTTTGAAGCTCTGCTATATCTTCCTCTAATTGGAAGTGCAGGACAATGTGATTAAGAATATGAGTCACAATTTTAGCCTCAATTGTAAATCTATGTGCTTGATCATCCCAGTGTGAGAACAGTGAAGAATCCCTGCTGTTAGGGGAAAACAGGGATGTGCTAATGTGGTAATACAGCTAAGAGATGACAGCTAGAGATTCATTTTCTGTTGGAAGAACTTGGCTCACGATGCAGAGGAATGTCTATCTCTGGCATCAAAGAGGACAAGGAAACTTCACATTGACAAAGAGAAGCCTCATGACAAAGGATCCCTGAAGGGAGTCACAGCATACAACATTGCTTAGGTTCTTTAGAGAAGCCTCTTGTTCGAGTTCTAATATTCTTCATTCTAAAAGATAATGCTTTCTTGTGTATAAAACTGCTTTATTGAATACATCTCAAATAAACTATTGTTATTTAGAATTAAAAAGGATTTCATGAAGCAGTTCTTGGAAATTCAGAATTTTATACTCAAAAAGTTGCCTAGTTTTCTTAGGTCTGTTTCTATGGTGAATGCAGAGATAGAATTTTGCAAATAGTATTAGCTAAATTCCAAGTGTTTGAAGACCTGTTGTACAGTTTCTCATGGTGAGCGATCTTTCAATTACATATCCACATATTCATAATTCCAGAATGTACATCAAGATCACTTGGATTATACTTGAAACTACACGTGACTTTTCTAATGATCCTTTAAGGAATATTTGGACCAGGCATCTGTCATACTGTGGATACAATCTGTTTTCTTTGGCAACTTATTATTAATGTAAAATGAGAGTCCATATTGGTCTTTGCTCATGTAGGCAGCTCACATGAATAACATGAAGCTAGAAGTGAACAATGATAAGCAATTGCTGACTTCCAAGACTTTGAACATCTGAGCACACATACCTGGTATAAAACAAATAAATGTGTATTGTATTCACAGGAGTTTCTGTTGAAGTAAAGTGAAGATTGGAATAGTTAAAACAGGATAATGTTTTCAGCTGACAATCATATAAAACTTGTCTTGGCTTTTCCTAACCACTGCACATTTTCCATTCATAGCCACTGAAGAGCAAGGAAATGAATCTGTGCCTCTGTCCTTAAGACCAGACATCTCAAGTAAGTCACAGTTAGATGACTGCCCAAGGGACTCTGGCTGTTATATCTCATCAGGAAATTCGGATAATGGCAAAGAGGACCTGGAGTCAGAAAATCTGCCTGACATGGTACAGAAGATTGCCATCACAGAACCCAGTGACTGAACACACATTCACTGATCTCCTTATCTACAGAGGAATTCCATTTGAACTCTTCATCTGCTACAAGATCAAATGGAAGTGTTCCAAATGCATTCCAAAGTGCAGATTGTTTTAATGTGAATGATTGCACATACAAATTTATATCTCTAAATTCTCAATGAGTGTGTGTAAAATGTATATTTATTAAATGCTATGTGTTAAAGTTCATCTACCTATATTAGAAAAATGATATAATTCAAGATACCATGCCTGTGCATGGTATATGCTGTACTTAGCTTTATTTCATAAGTGTAAAAAATAGAATCATGCAAACTGTGTATTTATATATATTATTGAATGTATTATAGAAAGCATTTCAGTTGAACTGATTTCTCCAGACAGCATATACACTCTTTTTTTTTTAATTGCTGGAAAAACGTAGGCTGAGATTAGATACTTTGTTCTGATTAAAGGTGGAGTTTTACTAATGATTTTCTGTTTATTTCTTCATTCTGTTATCTAATATGCAGATGGAGTTAACAATATACTTTCTGTTTTGATTTAGTAAAAATAATTGTAGAGGTATTTTATTTTTATATGTAAATATTTTTAATTTTTCTTAACCCTAATAATAATAATAATAAAATATACCATGTACATATTGTATTTACAAGGCTAAAGTGACTTAAGGTATTTTAATATTATATTTTAGAGAAAGTTTCTATTAGAACATGTTGTATAGTCAGTCCTCAGTTAAGAAACTATAGATTCCCAAAGCATCTCCTAATCCCAGATCCATGTTACTGAACTCTTGAATACTCCAGATTTCAGCTTGACATGCCCAAACACTTCATTTCGCTCCTATTTTCTTTCTACTCCATTATTTTTTTAAACCAAGAGCTAGTTACTGAAATGGAAAGTTATTTTATTCTTTGATCTGCTCTTATCTTCCTCAGACAAATTCACAAATGTGAATCCTACCTCTTAAATTCTTGTAATATTTATAACATCTCATCCATTCCCAGGACTGCTGTCACATTTCGGACTCTTGTGTGGAATGTTGCAATGTCTTTCCAATAGATATCCCATCTTCAAATCCATCCCCACATAGTCTCTAGAAAAATCTTCACGACTCAAATAAAATCATTCTCCTTGCTTAAAACATTTGATGGCTTCTCATTAACTTGAGTATAACATGTAAACACATGAAAGTTCTTTGCAGAGGGCTTTGAACCCACCTTGTGAGTCATCTCTCTGACCTTACCTTGCAGTGCATAACCTACTTGTAGTCTTCCAAATCCTCTATTCCTTCCATGACTCTCCATGTGTTGGGTATATTTTCAATGCCTTTCCTGATGGTTTTTCAGCTGAATCCTCCCTCTATTCTGTCCTCAAACTACCACAAAAGAGTGGCTTGCTATGCTATAATTTTGTGAACCCCTTCTGTGCTTTATTCTTTGTGTGTTCAAGGCCCCCTTATACATAGTTGGTTACAGAAATCCTCTATTTCTTTACCTGATAGCTGACTTTACACAAGACTGATCTCCTCCTGATAGATTTTATTTGCCTAGGCTTTTAACTACCCAGGGTGTAGTAAAATCTGGCTGAGGAGGAACACTTAGGAAACAGTTGCTAGTGTTTATTGAGTATGGTGATTATTTCCAATGTACAACTGTACCTTTCCAGTTAAGTCACTCTTACCAACCTACAGGTGAATGCCTCCAAATTATCAAAACGTTTGTGAAGACAATGTGGAGTTGGACAAATGGCTCAATGTTTAAGAGCACTTGCTCCTCACTCATGAGATCTGGGGATTAGATCCCAGCAACCAAGTGAGTGGCTCACAAACATTTGTAACTCCAGCTCCAAGGGACCAGATACCCTATTCTGGCCCCCATGAACAATCTCACACACATGTGCTCATACAGTTATACATACATACACACATACACACACAAAAAAAAAAACTAAAATAAGATGCCTGGATGGTTGGCTTGTGTGTTTAGAGCACAGACTGCTCTTTCAGAGAAACTGAGTTTAATTCCCAGCACCAGTACCCAGAAGTGCACAACCACCTGAGACTTAAGATCCAGAGGGATCCAGCTCCTCCAGCTTCTGCATGTAACTTCATCCCTATGAACATTTCTCAACCCAGACATGCACAAATGCATGATTAAAATAATCAAAACAAATCTTAAAAAATAAGAAATAAAAGGTAATAGAGAAAGGCCAGGCAAGATAAAATGTTATTCCGAATGCTGAGGACAGCACAGTAGTTCTAGACTTGTTAACAGATCTAATCTCACAAGCAGTGTCATAGCAGGTGTGACGCACACCGTTACGTTGATTTCCTCCTCAGTAAAGTATGCTTTCCCTCACTGTGGTTACCACTCTTAGTAGATTAGTCTAGAAACTGGTTTGGGATACAGCACAGAGACTGACCTCAGCTTTTCTTTTGAACTGTCCTAACCCTGTTCTCTCAGTTTGTTCAAGAGAGTGTAACATTTTTATGGCGATGCAAGGAAACTCTAGATTGGAAAATAACTGTGAAACCAACTAATAATAAAACAATGCCAATCTCCTACTGAGTTAAACTCTTTCACAATTTCTATCCCTTGAAAATGAAACTTTCCTACCAGTTGAGGATTTAAGAGCATCCTTTTGAAAGTAGCCTTTAAGGAGACAATAGTGAAGAAAAGTCTGGGCTCTTACAAAAGGGACCAGAGAGAAGGAGAAAAACAAGAAGCTAAAGAAGCCAGGAGAAAGGACTGAACATGGAGACCTGTCCTGATGAGGACAGTTCTACAGAAACATGTCCCTATCCAAGATGCTGCTGCATTTCTTCAATACGAAGTCCCTGGACTTAGAGCATCCGTCTGCTCAATGCAAAGGAGGTCAGACAAACACCTATTAATCTCACCTATCAATCTGCCTGTTGATCATATGTGGATCACTGAATGGAAAGAAGCAGAAAAGCAAGAGATCACCAAAAGGCGGTGGGCTAAGGGAACTGTAGCTTCTGCTTTGTTTCTAGAAGGAAGTTTGAGTCTGAGTTCTTTAAAAGCAGATGAGGAGATAGAAAGCCACGAGGCTAATATTTACAGGACATTCTTATTGGCTCTGTAGGTTTAAACCTGGCAAGATGCCCAATCACATGCATTATTTAGACTTGGTAAATAAAGGTCTTTTGGACCAAACAATGTGCACTAGAAAGACAGCAGAATCCACCTGTTGGAACTAATTGTGTACAGGTAGTTTTATACAGTTGTAAAACCTTTCTTGTGTGCAGGGATTACCTAATCCCAGAGGTTTCCTATATTTGTAGATTTAGCTATGACAGTCAATAACGTTAGAGAAATTTCAGCTCCACCAAATTTTCTAATATAAAACAATCTTCAATACATGGAATTGAATCCTGTACCATGTACATGTAAGGCAAGAACTAATCACTCACTTCTATCTATTATTATTATTATTGTTTTTCAAGACAGGGTTTCTCTGTGTAGATTTGGTGCCTGTCCTGGATTTCACTCTGTAGACCAGGCTAGCCTTGAAATCACAGAGATCCGCCTGCCTCTGCCTCCCCAGTGTTGGGATGTACCACCACCACCCAGCTATTTATTTATTTATTTATAAGGTACACTAGATTGTCCAGAGTGGCTTTAATTTTTTGATCTGCTTACCTCAGCCTCATGAGTAGCTGAAATTACAGTCCTGCACTGTGGAAGACCACTTTCAGGTTCCTAGTGGCTTTACCCAGCACATCTGCATAGAGAGTATGATTGGACCCAGGACCTGAGTGCAGGTGTCTGAGATGGTCTGCACTTGGCTGTACTCTGGGGAGGTCTTTTGCTCTACCCCTTGGCATTCCTTTATATACCCTAGGGCAGAGACAGTCGGGGCCCATTGGAATAGGTTCTAGGCCCTCTCGAGGCTCTCCTGTATTTTTTAATCTTTATCTCCCCCCTCTATATCCTTCTACCTAATATTCCCTACTGCTCCTACTCAAGAGCACTCTGGGGAAATGTGGGGCTGGTGGGTAGCCCCTCCACACTGCATCATCAAATGCAGTTTAGTTTTTTTGTTGGTTTAGTTTGGTTTGGTTTTTTGATAAATACAAAATTAAGAACACTTTAGTTCTGGTTTTCCATTTATTCTATAACTGATATTTTTAAGTCCGAATATCATCTTCAATTGAAAATGTTACTAGCAGCTTTTTGGGTTTTTTTTAATCATATTGCCAAGGGGGATAGATTAAAAATTTTTAAAGAAAATGATCAGTAGCTGACTATTTGGTTTCAGACTAGTTTCATTTCACTGAGTTTATAGCCACGTGTCTTGCAACTTCCTGAGTGTGGCAAAATTGATGACATTTAATGTTGAGAAATTTCCGCTGTAAGCGTAAGTTCTGAGAAAAATATATGTAGAAACTTTGAGACATTCCCTCAGCTTACACACATGTACTACTCCATACTGCCACCAAAAGACTTCATAACTAATTAGCATTAAGGTTTCCAATACTCTTGATAAAGTGAGAAACCCTGCTAAATTTATGAGAAGGCTCATAGATAAGTGATTAGAATCTAAGTAGAGGGTAAAAATAATAGCAGTTTCTAACTTTGAAGAGGTGTTTTAGCAGGAGGAATAAAATAGAATTCACTCCGACTTTGTTCTACTTTCATTTTACAACTGCATTCCTCTGAGTACTTTCTATGTATGCAGACCTACAGACTAACGGTTATGAGATTGAACCATCTGCTTTTGAGAAATGTAGGACTCTACCCAGGCATTTATCACCAAAAAGTGATTCTTTTTCATCTAAAAATGATAAAAATTACAGTATATTTATACGAGGCCCTCTACACAGTACATGTAGTGTTTGTATAAAAGTCACTATGGTTTTTATATCCACAACTTCATTTTTCCCTACCTAGCATAGCTATAAGAGGGAAGCAGTACTCATTCTATGATCATCCAGGTATGTACTTAGAGTATCTTGAAAGTCTTCAAACATAAATGGCCTGGGGTCTACTGAAAAACTGTGCTGGCCAGAAGTAATGAGGGAGGGTCAGCTGGTTGTAGAGAACTAGGCTCAGTGAGTTTTTCCTGGCACATCATTTTTTTGTTTGCACCTGATCAGTTCAGAGAGAGACTATACTGCACTTAGCCTTAGCTCTATACTTTCAACACATGGCATGAGTAATTATTTTAGTAATTAATTATTAAATATATAAATGATTGTTTAATGAATGGAAAAATTAAAATTGGGATTGTGATTGCCATGGACCTTGGTTTCTCATAAATTACAGCGCCTCAGCTGACTGGGCTACAGGCAACAGAGAAGCCCTTAGAAGACACCCTAGATGTACATATTAACATTTACACAAAGCTTATACACATCTAGGGAGAAGATTGTCATGGGAAATCAAAGTGCTACCAGGTTACAAGGAATGTATATGTGATTTCCACTACTCCCCTTCTACATCTGCATCATGAAAACCCCTCACATTTCCATTTCCAGCACTTAGTTTTGGTTTGTGCTATATTTAAAAATTTTAAAACCATAATGAAAAAAAATGGC